TACACGTATTCGAATATTGCCTCACTGTTTCTAATGTTATTGCATGCCCGCTCGATTCTTGGAAGCAGTTCATCTAGCTCATTTACAGTCATATATTTAGAAATATCAAAATCGATAGGTATTATTTTCGGAAACGGGCAAAAAAAGTGTTATATTAGCACTCTTAACCTACTTATCGCGACTATGAATATCGACCTAAGATTTTTTCACTTATTTTTTCAACACAGAATCTGTCCCTGTATATTTATCGGAGTTCAGATATATCCTGTGTATTCACAGCAGAAATGAGCGACTCTCGATTTCTTGCGTGGCAAAATTAGGACGCGAGTCGACAGTCGCAGTTACAGAAGTGCAACTCCTTTACATATTCTCTTTCTCTCTTTCTCTCATCGATCAGCGCGTTAAAATGTATTGCCGGCTCGTGTTATCGAAACACTTCTGCCCCCTTTCTCTCTCTCTCTCTCTCTGTTTCTTTCTTCTTCCCTCTGCTCTCTGTCTTTCCGCGAGTGCGAGTGACGTGCATGAAAAATAATACGAATTCGATAAGTCACCATAGGCATTTTACGGGGCGAAACGGAAAACGTATTCTCGACGTCGGTCTCGCGTGGCAATTCCGCGCGGTTCCTCCCTTCCCCCACGGGGGGAAGGCGCTTTGCATTTCTAATGTTTTTCGGATAGGGATCGAGACGCACCGCGTCGCGCCACACCGCGCCTTCTCGTCGCCTCGCGGGAAGGGAAGGATGGACTTTAAAGAAGCGACGAAGCAGCTGCAGCCACCTCGAAGGAACGATTCGATGTAGGGATAAAGCGGTTAGCCCCGGCTACCTCTCATCCTCTCCTCGGCCTTCCCTCCTTTTCTCCGCTAAAACGGTGGGAGATGGGTATCTCTGAAAATAGGATTGGTGCGGCACGCATTGTGCCGAGGACAGTGTCTCCCCGCCTCCGTTTTCGCCTACCCTCTCTCTCTCTCTCTCTCTCTAACTATCTCTATCTTTCTCCCCCTATCCTCTCATATTTATAGCTTTCGCCTTTTCCACCGTCCTTCGCGCGCCCCATGCTCGCACGCGCGCTTAATTCGACTGCTCTCTCTCTCTCTCTCCGTAGAGAATACACTTTTCTTCAGCCGAGGGAAAGTAATCCGACGGGTAGCACGGGCAGATGCGTCAGACCTGGCGTGCTGCAGCAGGGGCGCCAGGTGCGTTCTGATTTATCACGACCGCCGCAAGTTGACTGACGACCGCGGGTAGGCCGTGCGAGGCCACCGCCTACCGTCACGGATCCCACGTTCGTGGGTCGTTTCGTGGCTTACTAAAAATTCTGACGACGCATTCTATAGACAGGCATCCTAACACGATGTCGATCGCGCGCGCGCGCACGTATAGAGATACCGACTACGTAATTTCCGTGTCGCTGTGTCGCGAGCCTCGGGCTTTTTTACGGCTTCGTTTATTGCCGGCGGGCTCCCTCTCTCATACTCTCTTCTTCCTATCTCTGTTCCTTGGGTACACACGCGTAGGCGCACGAACGGATTGACAAACGTGTCGTACGAACGAGCTCGACGGGTGGAACACGAGCCACGAGCTATAACACTTTTCTACGGCGAGGCGACGTAAATACTATCTGTAATTCCCGCGTCATTCATGCCCCGTAAGCTTTATGGGCCGCTTTATTATTGGGAGGCTCTCTCGTCTCTCGAGCGAGCGCGCACTGGCTCGCTCTCGGTTATTGCACGAGCTGGAAAAGCTCGAAACGGAGAGAGAATGTCCGAGAGGGGAGAATGTGCGTAAGGGTTTAATATCTTTCCTGCATATCAGAATTTACGATTGGATTTGACGTAAGCCCGCGTAGCGGAGTAAGCAAGATTTACAGTTTACTTAATGACTCGAGGTAGCCCCGCGCTCGCGGATCGGCATGCTCACCGTTTTTGTGAGGCTGCGAGAGAGTCTAACACGGTTCAGATGTTCCCACGTTGGGCAAGCAGGTGTTGTGGTGAAACCGACGATTAATTATCCGCATCCCATTTGATAGTACGGACGGGTCGATTAATCACGCTACAACGGCCGTTATAAGCGATAAAAAGTTTCGCATCCACTCGGAACGTGCAATCAAAAATCTTCAAATTGATTTCGGCCGGATTATCGCCGGCCGATATGCAAATGGACGACGCGCCGATAATGCACGTCCGAAAATGTCGAAAATAAAATCGGCGAGACGCCTCTCTCACTCTCTCTGTCTCTGTGTGCCTGTTGTGCGCACGTGAACAAGAGTCTCTTGATAGTGTAAAGTTGAATTCAAAATAACACAACCGGCGCATTAACGATAACACAATAATTCTTCAGTTTATTGCTTCTTCGAAGGGGCGCAACACACGCGTGAGAGTTCCGCGACGCACCCACTCTGAGAAATGTTAACAAGAACCGAAAGTGTGAACGCAAATACAATAACACTCGGGAAACTTTGTAAATACCGCACGCAGTTATTGTAAGAAAGCACTTCAATAGATAAATTGCGATTGACGACGAGCAATCGACAACGCGTAGCACAATCACGAATACGTCCTGTCACGAGCTATGCAGAAACGTACTGACCAGCAGCTCCCGAAGATATTTCGCTTTCTTTTTTGTCTCGCGATTAAGTCACGAGAATAACAACACCATATAAGGAAATAACGCGCGTGCCTAGCCGACACGCTGTCGTCGGCTGATCTCAGGCAATCGCCTCTCGCGAGCGACAATACAGAACACGTGAATCGCACGTATCACGGGTGTACCGCAACACTGTATATGTGCTTTTTTTAATATTTCGTCCGTAATAAATGCTCGGCCGATCGAAAAATCCGTTCTCGCCCGAAGAAATCGAATGAAAGCGAATGAACTCGGTCAGCCTCGCGGCTCGCGATGATTAATGCCCGTATACGCGTGTTCATACGCGTATACAATATTAATGGCGTCTCCCGCGTAGTCTCTCCGCGCGTTACTTAGCCCGAAAAGTTGCATTACGTCGAAAATTGCAGACGTGCACGACAATTCATGTAGTCCGGAATATTAACGCACCTCCGTGCGCGCGCGTTATAGGCATCTCGCGGGAAATCGCAAATCACGTAGCGGCGATACATTTTTACGGCCGCGACAAATCACTCGTTACGAAAACTGAATAAGTTCCGAGCGCGTCTCCTGCGAGAGTGGCCTCCCCGCGAGCCGGCGCGCGCGTATTATTAAGCGTCGAGAAGCATTTTGGCGCAGCGAGAACCGAGGACGGATTTCGAGGAGGGTCAAGTATTTTATGCGTACAACCAATTACGAAATTAACCGACGTATATTTCTTCGTTTGCAAACTCGCCCGGAGTCGTTAAACAGTCGGACGCCCCTCCCTCCCCCTCCCCTCGGAAAGGAAAAGTAACTTCCCCGAAGGAACTGCGCCGAAATTTAATACCGTCGGGAAACGTACGTGCTAACGCGTACTTAATACACCGACCCCGCGATACAACCCCGGCGTTATTAAGCTTCGAGAATATTTCGGGCCGGTTCCCATCAGCCTGAAAAATAATAATACCCGATAAAATGGGTAGGGTGCATTTCATTACGGACGGCTCGAACCTCATTGGGATTAGGAGTATCCGCGGTATCGGGGAATTAATTATGAAGGCGAAGGAGCCAGTCGGTCGAGGAAAGCGCCGTAATATATTTACCATCGGCCGCTTGGCTTCAATTTGTTTAACAACTCTCGGAATCACGATTCTCAATTACTCGCGCTCGTTATTAACTTTTATACAGACGAGTCTTCGCTCATGTAACACCGCTTCGCAGGAAACCGCCCCCCTCCACCCCTTTTTTCGCTCTTCCTTCGCGGCGCGTGCATCGGGATAAGATATTTATAATATTCAGTACGTATACGCGGAATTACCATATCTCTTCGTGATACCGCTGGTAAAAACCGTATATACATACACCAGAGACTCGATGTCATTCAATGTTAGAATTACTTAGCGACGAGAGACGCCCTCCGCTCGTAGTTAAGAAAATGTAGATAAAGCGTGCTGATTTAATATGATGAATGTAACACAATAATCAGCGAGAAGGAACTAAGAGAAGTGCCGATTGTTTTGGTCTTTAAGTGTGAATATTTAAACTTTCAACGTAAAATAATATTCGTACATTGAACACATGCACATGTTCTATTCGTTGAAAGTTTAAATGTTCACATTTAAAGAGCGGAGCAATAAGAATGCCCAAAGTTAAGTATACGCGTCCAGCCATATCGGCACACTTTTACCTCAAATATTCCGTGTCTCTAAAACGTGTGACCGAAAAGTATGAACGAACAACTGACAAGCGGCAACGATCCGCGGGCCGAATTCGGGGACTCGATATTTCGTATCCACTTCCGTCCGTTTGAATGGGAGCACGGAGAATCGTGGAGAGATTCGACTCTCCCGCAAGAAGAAAAGACCCGACGTGCAAACTGACGGTGTAAGTTCAAGAGTAAGGGACACGTGACGGCGTCAAGAGCACCATTTAATTACACCGCTAACGGCGCGTCGTCTACTAAACGTCCGATGATAAATTCATCTCATCGTGCGAGCGTGCATGTGTGTAAACGCGAGCGTATGTTTCGTAAACCCGTGAATCGACGCAACGCGCGGAGTCTACAAAGGCACCGGGTGTAAACACGGGGCAATCTAACGGCCAGTCGATAAAAGCCCTATTTTAAGTCGAGACGCGCGCCAAAGAGAATGCATATTTAATCAGCCCACCGGACTGTATATCGTAAAACGGCAGCGGGGCATAACCGGTAAACAGCTGACCCGAGAAATCCCGTGAACCAGGAGCCCCGTTGCTTCGGCAAGCATCGCGCTTCCAGCTGACTTATCGCACGGACGCGTGTGACTCATGGTCGACGTGGTATATCGTATTCAGGGGGTAGTATACGAGGCGCAGGGGGCGCACAGGAGGAGGTGGTGGTGGTGGTGGTGGAGAAAGAGAGGGTAGTCGTATACTTACACTGAGCGACGTGAAGTGTCGGTACGTTCTCTCGGACCTGTGCACATCGACCCGATTCCACCGCGATTTCCTCGTGTGCTTCGTCGCTTGCCAATCACCCCGGCGATCCCCGATCAGCCTGTCCAAGTGGTATACATCCGTCGACGATCAGGCGGAGAACACGTTCCACGCTCCACCACGGCGCACCGGGCCCGTAACGTACTAACGAGAGACTCTCCCGAATCACCGTCGCCGATCCACGTGACTCGCCATGAAGACACCTCTCGGATTGCCGGGACGTGTCCGGCGTGTTACCCTCGTATCCATCAATCGTGAACCCGTGCTCCCGGACGGTTCCGCACTGATCGCCGCGTGCGTGCGTGCGTGGCTGCGTGCCTGCGTCGCGTGCGAAGGAGGGGGTCGCGACGAACGCGGGCGGTAAAAAAAAAAAGGGAAAACAGCCCGAGAAGAGGCGACCTTTTCGTATGAGTGAAGAGACGCGTGGAAGTTTACAGGTAGGGAGGACAGAGATAACAGACGAGACTGGAAGGAGAGAGACGGACTGAAAGGCTGAAGAGCGGAGAGACAGATGAAAAAGGGGGTAGTATAGCCGCCGGAGAGAGAGAGAGAGAGACAAAGGAGGAGGAGAAAAAGGAGAGAAAGAGAGGGAAGGAGAGAGAGAAGAGGAAGACAGAGATAGAGAGAAAGAGAAAGAGAGAGAGAGGAGGAACGAAAGAACGCGGTCGCTCCCAGAGATTTCGAACTGCACTGCAAACGGGAACCACAGTCCTTACTGAGCCGGAGTTTGACTACGTACTCGCGGCTGAGAGACTTTGGGGTCTGCGCAGTCGGTCGCTCACTACCACCACCACCACCACCGCCGTCGCCACCATTTCCACCACCATCACCGCCGGCGCCGTCGGCCGCCGCCGTTTTAACCCCAAACCTCCATGGCACCGAGCTCTCGACGCCAATCCTAACCTGCTCCGCCCGGCAGCGCCCCAACGTCGTCGCATGGATAAGGCCGCCTCGAGTCACGCGTGAGTCGTGATTCTTATTCATATTCGCGTGCGAAATTGTGTCGGCCGTGTCCCCGAGGATTAAATCGCGGAGGATTACGGCGGACGCGCGACCGGCTCGAGGAGGAGCCGTGCGAGGAGCGGGTGTTGTTGAATAGGGTCGAAGGCCGTTACCGGTATCGGCTTTAGCATATAATAGCAATCGTAATTACCTCTCTCTTACGACGAGTATTCGCTCGCCCTGCCCTCCCCTCCACGGAAATGTTTCCCGCTCTGCAACGCGGCGATATAATATATATTCCCGGGGTAAATACCGCGGCCCGGAGAGCGGTGTCGTAAGCGGCGCACGTAAGGGGCGTTAGCAAAAAGCTCGTATAATCGTACTTCGCTATAAATTAATTAAAAATGGCCCGTTGTGTCCGCACACCCGCCCGCTCCTGTAATTACGTTTGTTTAATTAATTAAGCGAACATAGAGGGGCGCGAACGTCGCGGGTTTGCTCGCGGCTTACGCGCGATCGCCGCGGAATAAAATAATTAAAAATTACGGCGTGCGTAGATTCGGTTTAGAAATTCGTTTTGCTTCTTTTTCCTCTTTTTTTTCTTCACCAGGCTGTAATTTTTAATTATCGCTCGCAGGGGCGAGCGAGCGGCACGCTAAGCCGTTCTCGCGCGCGGAATCTCTCCCTCCCCCCCTCCCTCCCACGGCAGCGGTATGCGCAGCTTTTAATCCGGCCGGCGCGATGCGATAATGATCGTATTAATTGCAATGTGGTAATTCCGATAAACATCCACGTCCCCGACATCGAAGTCTCTCGCGCGGGAAGAATCCGAGAGGAAACAAGATCCCTGAGGAGATTCGACGCGTATTACCTCCCGATAACGCCGGGGTATAAGGGTAGCGCTGATACGTGTGGATGTATTAAAAAAAATTTCACATCTCAAATGGCAGAGATGATGATACGGCAATATTTCTATTTTCCGCTCTCCCGCCTCTTCATTTCCATCCTCCCGTACCGCCTGTTATAACTGTGCGTAACTCCGTTAATGTAATAACATTTCTATAAAAATTTTCGCCCCGTAATGGATGAGATTGAATTTATACCGGTGTGCGCGATCGAAAACACAGTGGATAAAGAGCGGCGTTCATCGCGAAATTCGGATCGAACGTTCCCGGTGTGTATGTGTAGGTGCGTGTTTGTGTGAATACGAGACTGGCTTTCGGAGCGTCCCGCTCCAAATCCGTCTTGCCGCGTGCACTAAGTCCTATAATTATCGCGTCGCACGGTACAAATGACATGTACGGGAACTTCTTTGTATTACCGTGAAAAAGAAACCGTTGAGAGGACACCCGGCCACCGAGTCTCGATGCGACTCTGAAAAGTTCGCCGTCGAAACAAAAAAAGAATTTTGTCCGAAGTCACGTCGGCCAAAGTTCGTTGCTCCGTACATGTTGTCCCCGCACATTCTACGGCTACACTGGAGCGCTGCCAAAGTCATTCTCACATCATTTCAACAGAGAATATAAGACCCGCGAAATAGATGAGCCGACGTATGGCTCGATGTATCCGTAGCCAGAACGATTATCGCGGGAATGTTCGTGAAATTTCCTTCAAATACCGTCGACGGTATATCCCGTCTGTGTTTTTATCTCGTGCACATCGACGTTAGAAATAATAATCGGACCGATTGTAGAGGCAGACGTTCGCATATGAATGAGCAAATAATTACGCTTGCGGACAGTTATCACCGAAGACGTTTTGCGTGTTCCTTAAATAAACAATCGTTTATTAATGTTAACGTGCGAACAAGTACGCACCGGAAAGATTGATTTCCGGTCTCATTTTGCGTGCCGTAGCTCTCACAGATTCCATCTGAATGGCGTCTTATCGCCATCTACGGTGCATCTTCACAACTAAATATCCCCGCTATTGGTCGATAAAACCAATCGGAGAATTTATATTGCGCGGTGCCCCCCGTGTGTGTATGCACACGTGTGTGTGTGTGTGTGCGAGAGTCATTTATTATTATTATATCGCACCGTATTTATCAGCGGACCCGAGAATATCGTTCTCCAAAGCCGATTTGGAAAATTATATAAAAATTTACAACATTCAGCTCAGGATTATACCAGATACTGATATTTTCAGGATACTGCTTAACGTATATATAGTGCTCCAAAATATTTAAATCAAGATATATCTTTCTCGAGATACGTCGCTCATGTGAAGGTGACGCGAAACAGCGGCGCTTCCGTAATCTGTGCCACTGCTACGTACTCTCTCTCTCTCTCTTTCTCTCTATCTATCTATCTATCTATCTATCTCCCTGATAATAGATCTTCTTTTTAGCTGAACTTCCTATATTTTCTTACACCTTTTTTTCTTCGCCTCTTCAAAGGAAGCATATATTTACTTAAGCGCCGAGCATGTAAAAAGATGTAGTAGCTGCAAGAAAAGAGAGAAAAAAAACTATTGTTGTCTCGCGCACTACCGTTATCCTGGGTCAGTTGTCGGGCAATTATGCAAGAGTGATTGTTCTAGATTCGACGCGAGAGAACGACTGATCGCGTCAATCGTCCGAATCGTGGGCGCATCATTAATGAGCTCAGGAGACGATGTTGTATGTTAATGAGCGCTTCTGTCTCTCTCTCTCTTGTCGAGATAGCGAACTTGAAATCGAGTTAAATTAATATTTACCGTGCGTCCGGCGAATACCTGATAACGCGCGACCAGTTTTAAATTTGCCACGTGCGCGAGAAAGCATATTTATATATCTCCGACGGCATATCTTCATATAAAGTGTCTATTTAACCTAATGTAAGATTTATAGGGTTGCACACAAATAACCGCATATAAATTGATACTAAAGTTCCGTTCTTCTTGGTGTGCGCGCACACATGATGAGAGAATTCCATCGAATATATCCGCAGATACATAAATAAAGATCGTCCGCGAGACAGTCGTGAGCCTTGACACGTACAGCGCATCGTGAATAAACATGACGAAATGAGAGCAAAACGATATACACGTGAAAAATACGCGTCGATGTGAATGTATGTGTGTGTGTGTGTAAGTCTACAATATCGCCGGGTATAAAGTAGTATTACGGTCATATGGTTGCGCGTTCATAACGACGTGCGCACGTTGCGGCGAGCTATTTTAAATACTTTTCCCCAAAAACACGTCGAAGCACGCGCAACACGCGTGTCTATCGCGGGTTCCGTCATCATCCCCTGCTCGAATCGATAGCCGTATCAACCCCCTCCCCTCCTTCTCATCCTGTAAATATATCTTGAAATAATAACGCAATTAATTGAAACAATATAAATATAAATAATTATTCCTCGATTCGCGGTCGTGCATACGACTCGCACGGTAATTGTAGCCACGCGTGTCGGTTTGGAATATTTAAAAAAATGCGCGCGATATTTTATCCCGCGTAGACGCGTCGCGCCGGTTCAGGAGATTCTGTTTGAAAAACGGCCGGAAAATTCGACGGGTATATCGGAATGGAATAACACGTTAGCATTAAGCAAGAAAGAGTCGAGATTTTCGCTCGCCTGCGCTATTTACGCGGTAAAATAGGGAGAGTTACTAAACATCGGACTGTATTTACGCGATTCCACGGCTTGCCGATGGAAAATTAAGTCCCGTTAANCCGGGGGGGGGGGGAGGTGTACATTTTCGACCGTTTGGCTCCCGCGTCAAAGTGCCGGGGACGTTAAGTTCCATTAAATTTGAACTCCCCCTTCCCCCCCACCCCGCCGTTGTCGTTACTTTAATCCCCTCGTTATACACAGTGCTCGAGAAGGCGAGCAAGCAGGAAAGAAAGAAAGAAAGAAAGAAAAGAAGGTCGGAAGACAGAGAGATCGAAGAAAAAAAATATGGGGGGAGCGGAGGTAAAGCCGCGCTCGAGCACGGGACGGGAAGGGAAATTAATCTCTGCCGACGATAATTCAGCGGTGCGTTATCGGGAAGGAAGGCCAACGTCAATCGCAAAGTTAATCGATGCTCTCCTCATTCGTCGCGCCGCGCTATTGCGAGCTGGGACTGGCAGGTCGTCGGTCCCAGTCGAGATCACGGGATCTCCCTATTCTCCGGGTGTCGCGATATATTCGCACCCCCGCGCGCGCATACACGCCCTCCGACCGCCGATTCCCGGTGAATGCGATTCTTCGAAATTCGCGCCCGCGAACGTTGTTGCACTCCCTCTCTCTCTCGCGTCGTTCAATCACGCACTGACTGCATGAACAAACATCGAGCAAACGTTCACGAGAATGACATGTACCATATCCGACCCATATCGATTTCCCATTGTCCTCTTCAGATCCGAATGCATACATAGTAGCATTCGGGGGGAGAGGGAGAGGAACACCACACGAGCGCAGATGCCGCATACGAGTGCTCGTCGGGGCAAACTACGAGGCTGTAGGTCAAAAAGCTTTGTGATCGAAGCGGTGTGTGTCGCGCGATGTGTCAACGGCAGTCGTGGGAAGAGCGTGAGGAGAGATTCTCGCACATCGGCAACATAAAATAATGCTTCACGAGACGAGAGCTCATCCGGCTCGACATTCGCAGAACGAGGATCGCGGTATAATGATTTCAATCACGGGCGGACGATCAAGCGCGAATTATGCAAGAATATACGCGAGAATATACGCGAGAAACCGGCCCGGTCGAAGAATATGTATCGCCGGACGTATCGCCCGGCTGATACATGTACATCGGGTATTTCTTCCGCGCGGAACACGTGCGCCTTCTCTTTCCTTCTTTCCCTCGCTAATGTATATGCGTACCGCATGTACACACGGCGTCGTCATGTACGCCTTACCGTTCCCTGGATCGGGAATTACACGATTTTCAACCTTACGTGCGTGTACACATAAGGTGGAGACCGATTTAATTAGAGCCATTATCACCCCTTGCAACTGGAATTATTTATGCGATTTTTATGCGCGATATTATGCGTATGTATAAGCTTGAGGTAATTGCTTCTTAGAGTGCCGGATTTTCAGTAACGATATTAAAAGGCTCCTACTTAAATTGATTATTTGGTGAAAAATACTTTTCTACAACTTTTCTTAGCTATCTGATAAGTGTGAATTTTGAGCGCGAAATTAAGATAAACAGATATGCAAAATATTAGAAACGTGGAGATATTATTTGTTTTTTGTTTCTCTCATTAAATATCCGCGGTTGATTCAACTGTATTTGTCATTGGTTTCAATAAAATGTATTGTGTTGCAACAATAATATACCGTGTTTGATTTAATAAAATATAATGTTGCATTAAAAACACGCTTGAATTGAAATGATGTTTCTAAGTTAAGAATTCAATTACAAGTATGATTGAAATAATGCGAAACAATATTGTTTCACGGAGAAGATACTAAGGATATCATTTAACCAGATACAGTTGCCGCGACAAAATGGTTATGATAAATAACTGTCCAATTCACACACGCCATATATATAAACCAAATAATTATAATATATTTATAACGCGTTTATCATCGTGCATGTTTTTGGTATACACAGCGTTAAGTGAAAGTCGCATAAAAATGGTTTGGCATGGAACCTGTCAAGCTTGTAATGTAAAAGTTGGAAGTACACGAGTATATCAAGAAAATTATTTGAATTTATAAACTGGACTTATTATAATAAAAAAAAATATCCTTTCGTTGTAACGGACGTCTAATACTTTAAGATAAAAAAAAATAGTACACCATGTGAAAACTAGAAAACCGCAAAACGTTCAGCGGTCCATTGAACCGGAATGTGGTGAGCTAAGGTTAAAATCGTGTAAATCTCTATATAGGGAATGGTAAGGCATATATGACGTCGTTTGTATGCCGTACAGTCGAGCCATGCTGGGGATTCAGACGCAGCTGAATTATTAAATTTCGCGTGAAGATTAGTTCTCCATTCCGGGCAAGTGAATGTCGAAGTAAGCAAATGTCAAAAGTAAAACACACTCGCATAAAGCAACTTGACATGGAACCTTCCTTTTTCACTTTTTCTCTCATGATTTTGTCACTGCAATTTTTACAGCTATTTATTGATTATTTGAGTGAGAGAAAAGTATTCGGACGATTTTACAAATGTGCTGAATCGATCAGAAATTTTATTCGAACGTACAACGCAAGAATTCCCGGCATGTGTTTTCTCGCTTCTGATGCTAATTAAATAAGGACAGTCGCAGCGAGCAGCCAAAAGCCTTAATCGTACATGCGTAAACTTGAAAGTCATGTGGCACTCGACTTGGAGAACGGTAAGGCATACATGATACAGCATGTACGCACAATGTACCGGTCTATAATTTGACGAACGAGAGACACGTCAGAGCCGATTCGAACGCTGTTCGAAGCGCGGCGAAGTTTCTCTAATCAGAATGCAAACGCTTCCTTATGATAAGTGTATAGAAATACGTGTCGCTTCCGGGAAATGTACCCTAAAATATTCCTCCGGTTTATCCAGTTTTCACGCGCTCGTGAGTGCATCTTACATGAGCTGCATCGGTCGGAGCAGCAGGTCCGTCCGTCAATAAGAGGACTCTCTCCGAGACGTGTCGCGTAAGTGTCGAGGAATAAGTCGATCTTATTCCAAGTTATCATTCACCCCGCATGTGCTGTCGATTACCATGAAACGTCACATAACCATACCTCGTGTGTACTCCTCGAAGACTCGTATAGTCGGTCACAAAAAGGCCGCGACACTTTATTTCTCGACGAGCGTTTCGCATCGACGAGCGTTCATACAGAAAAATGCATGGTCAGTCACGAGAAGACGCTTGCAACGCTTTTTTTTTTTCGACGAGTTCCGCAACACATCTCGTATTCAATAGGAAAGTGTATCTCCCGCGAGAATTACAAAAAGAACGAATTCTTTTATTGGACACGGGAGATACGTTCCGAAACTTATCAAGAAAAGGTATTGCAACCTTTTCATAACTGTTCATGTGCTTGGTTTCGACATTTTCTCTTCGATATGGTTCGGAAGACAATAGAAAATTTTGTGTTAAAAACGATCTACTGAAATTTCATGCTACTTTAATACGGGAAAGTCAAAATGTTCAAATGTATAAATATAATGTTGAATAAATAACATTCACCTCAACATATTCCCAGGTAGAGCAGAAAATGACGTCAGAATGACATCAAAATAGTGAGACAATGACGATTTTCTCATTTCTTGGGTGTGTTGACAAATTTCAGTGGACTGTTTTTAATACCAAATTTTTCATCGCGAGAACCGGTATTCCGAGAAGACTTGTTTCTGATTAATATCTGGAAATTAAATCCTCTCATCGGGCCTTCTATTGTGTGCTAAACTGCGTCAAAGAAAAAGTGAACAAACCGTTTCTCGAAGCTGAGTGTACAACTCGTAGCCACTCGCCGGCAACGGAGCGTGATTTCACACGTGACCGCCGCGAAGAAGACACGTTCAAGATAAACGGAAAGCGTAAATATGTGCGCTGGGTCGTTGGTTTTTCTGTCGCTTATCTCGATTGTTTCATTCTTCCTTGTTGAGATGCGCTTTACTTTTGAACCATGCCTTTAGCGTCATCTGCGAGCAGCGTGTGCATCACGGGAACTATATGACGCATGCGCGTCTCTCTCTCTCTCTCTCTTTCTTCTTCGTCGGTCGTTCGCGTGCAGCCGGTATTAATCAATCACCTGTTTCGTCGCAAATGTGTTTTTCGTGAAGGTTCGGCCAGTGCACGCAACACTTGACCGGCTTCCTCGCGTCAGTTTTGATTCCGCTGCGAGCCGGACAAGCGAACGGAAGAAAACAACGCGCGATCACGTCCAGCGGACAACGACGCGTCGTGTGTTACTCGTCCGGGAAAGCGAGACGGTGAGTAGTGTGAATAATAAATTCCCAATCCAGGTTTGGACGTTTGATTAGCGTGGAGAATATCCGGTTCCATGATCGAAAGTCGGAATACAGCTCGAACTTGTCGTGTGTACACATACGAGCTCGCTCTCTCTCTCTCTTTCATTCATTGTTATGATACAATCGAGCGGACCGTCGAGAATATTGACGTTTAAGATATACGCCGGGCAAATATTTACGCGAGAGCAACCGACTTCTCGATTGGGACCAGTACGTCACGTGGCTTCCCTCTGATCGCACGTATCGATATGCAATCTTCGAGCTCTCGTTCGAAGAGACGCGTTTAAAAAAGGGTGAAATGCGCGGCGCATGCGCACAGTTTGACGGTGCTCGCGAGCTTCTCCAATCCTGAATCGCGCGGAATAGTTAGGCCGCATTGTCGAGTCTCCCTCTTTATCTCTCGTCCCAAGGCAGGCAGGCAGATCGAGGTGTGGCAATCGAGCAGACTCTTCGCTCTCCGCTAACCGCCGCGTCCGCACACGGTGAGACGGTGGTGGCTTCCTCGCCGGCGATTTGTGACGGGTCACGCCGCCGGGGAAAATTACGAGGTTAGAAAGAGCGAGAACCACGGTCGCGCGCTGATCCGAGACAGGGCCGGTCCGAGGGCAGCCGGGCGCCCGTGGCAAGACGATACCGGCCGGATTTTCGCCTATTAACTTGTCTCAGGAGGTACTTCGGTCCTCACGAAGTTTCTCTCTCTCACGAAGTACCTCCAGTATGCGAGACCCACCGCCAACCAGCTGGCCTTCCCCTCACGCTCCCCCGGACCAGCCCTTGTCGACGGGTTGACGAAAATTACGCAAGACCTACGCAATACGCGTCGTGTACACCGAAGAAAGGATTTTTGGTAGAGTACTGAGATTTGATTGATACTTGCTGACTAAATATTCGATTATTGCAACCAGATAATTTAGTCTCGTGTACACTAAATATACAATGTACGGAACTACGCGGTACTGTATATACAGCATACGGAACTAAGTTCTTTGGTTGCAGTCATTAAATATCTGGTCGGCAAACACTGGTCAAATTTTTTAACTTGTTTTAAAAATGGAGTTAATGAGACTTTTTGTTTATTATTTGTGCTTTTTCATTCGTTCTGTTTTAAAATAAACAGATACAAATCATCGAGTTTTCTTCCGGAGACTCTGTTATTCGAATTTCAAATCTCCGAAGTTTTGGCGTTCATCATTCGAATTTCGAATATATCGAGGCTCCGAAGCTTCGAAATATCGAAATCATAAGATTTTCAATCTAATTATAATGTCTGGTGCATCCCGTTCATTTACAAAAGTTCATTTACAACAGTAAATGCTCAGTATGCTCAGAGTAAAATATATGTAGACATTAGTCTACAGCATTCGCAAGATTGTACTCTTCGAAACTTCGAGGATTACGGCCTTTGAAATCGGACCTTCGAAGCTTCGCCTTACCGAAATTCGAAAGTTCGAATTTCCATCGAAGCTCCGAAGCTTCGAACATTATCGAAGATTAACAGCCTTACTGCAGCATATATGACGGCTGTACGCGTCGCAGAAAGACAACGATACGTCGTGAAAAAATAAAGAACAAAACATTAGAATTCATTAGAATTCATTAGAATATGTGATGCGACGAGGGATAAAAAATTATAGTCAAAAGAATCGCTTATCATTTTTCCAAGTAACGTGTCGATCGGACGGAACAATTCCTCCGAGACGGCGATTACCTCCGTAGAGGCCATCAGAACGATATTTTTCTCGAATTTCCTCGACGCACACACACATACGGAATAATTATTTCGGCAAGCTTGTCATTTGGCGCAGCGCGCTGGCTTAATTCGGTTTAAAGCGGAGCGCATATCCCGTCTTTGTAACAGGAAAGAGGACAGATACGGAAACAAAGTGCAAGAAGTGTGACTGAAACGAACAGATCGCACAAAGCGGCTACTGTGAGCGAGCCGAGCCCGAAAGCCGGCGCGTCGCGTGCACGCGAGCTGCTATTCGCGGAAGGAACGGCAAGAAAGCGCTTCGCGGTGGATTTTAGCCCGAGAGAGAGAGAGAGAGAGTTCGCTCAGATATGATTTAATTTACCCGCGACTTTCGACACAATCCGGCCGATCCATCTCCATCCACGAACGGTAGCCGCCCGCGCGCGAGACCGTCGCGGTCGTCTCAGGTCGTCGGTCACCGGTGGCGTCCTCGGTCATCCGCTACGTAAATCTGAACTTAAACGCAACTGTGAACCCCCTCTCTCTCTCTCTCTTTCTCGCGACTTCTTGTCGCACGCTGATTCCGCGCTTAGTTCGCTCAAAGTCAGACCGCCGCGCGCCGCGGATGGAACGTTTATAAACAGCGAATTATTTGCTTACCTTCCTCCACGAGGAGAGAGCGATTGGGAGCCGGTAAGTAAGAGGTAAAGGAGAGGAGTATCTCTAACTTGTTTTCCTACCACATTTACCCGCGCTGTGTTGCCACAAAATACGCGGCAAAGGTCGTATCGGAGTAGTCGGTCAAATCCAATTGCGAAGCCATTGGAGCGTCCACTTAGAGCGCCGTCTCGTAGACCGGGAGAACTTCAGTAACAATATACACACACACACACATAAACGTGTACATACAGGTATACACACGTATACACGTAGAACGAGACAACAAATTGGAAATATCGTACCTTGGAGATACCTCGGGAAACCTCGCGAGACCACGCACGCGATATAGAGAAGTCTACGAGAGCGAGAGAGAGTGATGCAATGAGTCGTACACGGTATCTAAGAGACATCCTAATTTTTCAAGCAGTCTCTAGATAAGCTCTCTTTTTCTCTCTCTCTCTCTCTCTCTCTCAGGCCTCGGTGTTGTTCATGCGAAGAGATCGGATAACTTGCTGCTCGATTGCCTCGTGTTGTGTTGGCTCGACGATGTAACGGACGGATTACAACGTCGTCGCCTTCGCGTCATCGCGAATCGCTACCGGCGAGAGCGATGAGGAAGACAAGAGATAGGCGGTTTTCAACATAAAATAGCCATCTCACATGAAGTTGATCGCGCGGCCGATGAACGAACATCGTGAGCGAGCTTTATCGGCTTCGCTCGTCGGAGCAGTCACGATTTCTTATCGAAGACAGTTATTATCATAGCGCAAGTCACAATGACGATTATCATAGCGGCATTTTGCGTTGCACGGAATTACGTTGCGTACGTGTAATACGATCCGACTTGTCTCTATTGGCGAATTGGGAACACGACGAGGAGAAGGAATTAAATTTTGGTGAAATTAATATTTATTACCTCCAAATAATACTGCCTTTTTATCAAACAGCATGATTTATTCCAATTAAGCAATAACATTTTCAGTCAAACAAAATGATATTTGATATTAAATTATATTATTTATATAAAACAATATCAAGTCAAACAAATATATCTACTAAATCTATCAAAGAAATATTTCTCTCAACGTATAACTGTTTAAAGTTTATAAATGGCAGCACAATTTTTCGGAACATTTTTTTTATTAAAAATAGAAAGAAAGGAAGAAAATAAAGATTACATAAATTGTATAAATTGACGTCCGTCGACTTCAATACACAGTACAGTGCAATCTAAAATGGATTGAGTTAGCCACACGAAGAACATCATAAATTGCTCCTTATTTGTTCGCATTCCTTGAACCTCGACCGCACTTTAGATTCTTATTTGTGCAGCCGTATGGAAAATTTAGTTACACGAAAGGAAAGTTAATGCTCGAGCTAAATTGATGCAGAACGTGTTAACAACGCGTGTGAACGTGTCAGCTTGAAGATATTATTCTTCCTATCCAATATCTTTCCCTCACAATTTATAAAAATTATTACTGAATAACAAGAATTTTACGTTTTTAGCGAAACTAGAACAGAATTTCTTTACATTTTTAAGCGAGTTTTATCTTCATATAAAATTACGTATTCTTTCTTATACGTGAAAATATGAATCTCTTGAATAGATACCCATTTTTTCTCTGTGTGCGAGAATGGGCAGATGTAAGACGCGTATATATATATATATGTATGTAAATATGAATCCATAGAGAGATTATCTATGCAACAAAGCGTCTGGGCCGTCCTGACGCAGACTAATGCGTACGTGAGACGTCGCGTTTGATGCACGGGGAATGAAATATGCTGGGAATACTTCGTGCAACCTTGTAGCGAAAGCTTATAGCGCGCGGTCGTTTCTCACGACGGTGTTGCAGCTTGGAGAAATATAGGCGGGAGTGTCGGTGCCGCGGTGAAATGCACCTGATCCATACCACATCGATATCGTAAAACGACGCGCGACTCCTCCCTCCGCCATGCGCAACTTGCGGGAACAAGTGTTTTGTTTATCGTGTAGCCGCGGACTGTCTGCGTACGCGCAATCACCGGTTCCGCTTATCCGTTTATCGCTCCGTAATCGCGATTGTCCTCGCGATGCCCTGGAATGTGTCTTTTGCGTGGGACGCGCGTTATTTTTAATTTCGCTCCCGTACAAGCATTAAAGCGATAAAACACGTCATACGAAGTTACACGTATGTGCATTTCGCCGCGGACACTCCGCGATATACAATTGAAGCTTTGACCATAGGAACGTGGTAATCAACTAATTTGAAATTTTCCAGTAGAGCTGAAAAAGCAAATACCGCGAGTACAACAAGACCCCAATTAAATCCACTGAACTAAACGCTTTTACCGCGTCTCTAAAAACCTCTCGATAATTGGGCAAAAACCCGACGAATTTAATCGGAGCAATTTTCGGAGCTTACGAAAAATTCAGTCGATACCACGGAAGAGCTTAAATTAGTAACAACATCGTTATGGCCTGGCTGTTCGCGCTTGCATTGTGGCGTACGGCATGATTTCGCGAAATGTTGACTCCATCGCGCGAATATCCGAGTGGAAATTTTAAATTTTACAAGTCATCCAGTTGAGAAAACGGAAATAAGTTCCCATTTGTAGCGTTAAAGGAGCACCTGTTGTAATAATAATGAGAGTCGAGACCTCCGGAATCGAAATTTTAGTTCTACATTAAGTCCTCAAGTGAAGGAGACGGCGATAATTTCCCGTTATTTGCAGCGTGAAAAGAGCATTATTAGTGCTCCTTTGATGCTACAAATAGGAAGTTATTTCCGTTTCTCCGCTTGAAGGCTTAATAATGTAGGACTGAAATTTCGACTCGGGAAAACGCGCATTTCGACTCGCGTGAGAAACGACACGAAGGAGAGAGAGCTCTCATTGTGCGTGACGTTTGTCATTGTAGTACATTTTAACGTACGCTTCTTAAATCGTGCGACCTCGCGCCGCTCGTTCGCGCGGCTTCTCAGCTTCTAGCGAGTCGCAAACATCTCAATTAACATTCATACCTCTTTCCACCTTCGCTCGCGCGTTGGGCGAAACATGCATGCGTTTATTATATATGCATAATAGAATTCGCGCGCGGCGCAATTCGACATTCGCCGGCGAAGTGCATGAATTATCCATTTGCGCGAGTATCACCTTTACAGAACATCTGCCAATTCGTATAATGATATTACGAAGCGTTCTTATGCAACGGCTAATACAACTACGGAGTGGAAAGAGGGAGCAAGGGGGGAAAAGAGAGAGAGAGAGAGAGAAAGGGGGGAGGGGGACTTTGGCGCACGCGAAATTGAATAAACTCGGCTCTCTCACGAAACGGTATAAGGCGATATAAGGCCATTTCATCTCTCGAGTCAATAAAAACAGCGCCGTGTCGGTGAAATTGTATTGTCCTCCGGAAAGAAATCGAGATGGGTTTTGCAGGACAAGACACTCAAAAACAACGATCAAGCGTGTGTGTGTACATATACACACGCACACACACGGTTGCCTTATTTCAACATACAGAACGAATCGCGCAACCGGCGATCGTGCTGATCTTACGGAACGATCTTGCGAAGCGATCTCAAGCGACGAGCGCGCACGGATCCGGCGTCGCGCTGTGATCCGTGACAGCATATCGTCCCGACGACCTACGATTCTCAGCCGTCAACGCGCGCGCGCTATCATTCCTCGGAGAGACGTCGAGATCGCTCGTTTAGATGTAGACAGCGATATCGATTTGACAAGTGTACTCTCTAGTGAGAGAACAATGACACGCTGTGTATATTAAATGCAATCCGTCAAAACGGCGGCGACGAGAAAGCACGAGAGAGATGGAGAGAGCGAGAGAGGGAAAGCGAGAGTCGCGGAGAAGGTAACCGAGGTACGGAGAAAATATCCCGACGCGAATCCATTGATTTAACGAACTCTTCCGTCAACGCGTAAATTCCGCTCGGGAGAGCTCCCGGAGGGCCCGGGGCGAGGAGAGGGGATCGTCGGGATGCTTGGAAATCCCCAGTCAAAACGCTGCCGCATAAAGAAAGGCGACACCGTCGCAAAAAGCGACGCGCGGTGTCTCTCGCTCGAGAGGGAAAGAGAAAGCGTGCGGGAGAGATCGAACGCGCGCAAGAGAGAGAGAGAGTGAGAGCGACAGAAGGAGGAAGGGAGAAAGAGAAGAATCGGTATGCAAATGACTTCATCCCCGACACGCGGCGTTTTCTCTGGGAAAACCTGGGGCGTCCCGAAAACTAAAGAATCGTGGCGCCGGGGCCGATGCCTAGAAATATGGCGCGGCAGTTGTTGGCAGTTTCTCTGCAGAGGCAGGGATGTACGTCTGCGGGTGGTGCTCGCACGCGCGGTCGAAGGAAGGCGAGCTCGTCGTCGCCGCGACAAGGGGTGGCTCTCTCTCTCTCTCTGTCTTACGCTCTCTTCTCCGGGGTGCAGCGGAGCGTGCAACGCGTACCATTCTGGCAGAAAGCCCTATTCCCGACTTCGAGCGTGAAGTTGTCTAGCGGCCAAAGGCGTCGGCGCGTTTCCTTGTAATGCACTCCGCCGCCAACACGTAGAAAAAGTTGGCCGAACGTGATTCGTCATCGCGATGAATAAGAAGAACGTGCTTGCAATTTAACGGCTCCCGGCCGCACGGCTCTCTCCGCTCCTCCGGCTGACTCATTTGCACGGATTAAGCCGCAGCGCGGAGACTACCCACCGGAGATATCTCAGACGCGTGTTCTCCGGTTGCGTCGCTTCCCAGCGCGCTCGGAACGTAGCCCGAGCGCGCGAACGGCCGAATGCATCGCGGCGCGTACCGAAACACGCGCGCATGACCGAAAATTAATGAAGGTGCGATTTTCACGAGAGGCGGAAATACAGGTTTCCCACCGAATATTCAGATATATTATGTATAGGATGTTCGTATTTCATATTATTATGATAATTAAAATATACGATATATGTATATATATCATTATACGAGGTATGTTATATGCCGTAGAGGAATATATCAGTTCCGATCATTTGAATATTATAAAAGTATGCTTTACCGTGAAAAATTGATACTACGGGCGATACGTATATGTGTGCGTACGTGTGCGCGGAGAATCGAAATGTACCTACCGCGTATTGATCGTTTGCTATTTTACATTTAATCGCTTACTTAATCTATTTATATATAGAGAAAAGGACTTCTCTGAACTTATAATACAATTTTTTTTAATTGAAATAAATTTTCCCTCACGGAACAGATCAAACAAACGAATGTTTGATTCGACAAACAGGATTGTTTACTTCCTCGCGAACAATGCAATATAAATATCTTTTTTTTTTCACACGTCAAATAACGTATTTCTTTTATAGTTTTATCTAAACATTAAAATGATTGTCACGAACAGTAAGTTATTTGAAAGAAGTAACATCGTGTTAGAGAAATGTTAAGGAACCCCCTGTGTATTATAAATGTAAAGGCTCTCAAGATTTACGATGAAATAACGATGAAAGGCAAGTAAAGAGTCAAAACGCAGATGTTGTAGCGAATAATTTTATGTTACAAATTGTCGCGTGAAATTTATCGATCGGACATAATCCACTTAATCTAATTGCAGATCGCGATGGTCAAGATGACAGCGTTGCATCTGTTTGTGGCCTGTTTGGCCGCTTCAACGTTCGTCCTGAACGAGGAGCTGTTGGAGCAGGATTGCCCCGTAGATTGCCACTGTCACTACTTTCGCATCAACTGGGTAACGGACTGCTCGGATAGCAACCTGACGACCATCCCATACAGCGAGCTCAGCCGGAATGTCTATATTTTAGACATGAATGATAATAATATCGCAAACGTCGGCCCATTTCCGAGCTCCATCAAGCTGAGGCGCCTCCAGATGGCACACAACCGATTAACCGAGCTGTCATACGAATCCTTCGCCGGGTTAACGTATCTCCTGGACGCGGATTTCTCGCACAATGCCATCAGGCGACTCGATCCCGAAGCCTTTCGGTAAAGATCGATCGATACAACGTCTATTACATTCGTTCGGCTTTCTTTTTCTTCGGTGGTGTGCACGTGAAAAACAAATCTCAGCCCATGTATTTATCAAACTTTTTGTTAAACGTGACTTATTTTTAATTGTTCATTTTTTAATTTAACTCTAATCGAACTATAAATCTAACGAGGAAGCAATGATTTGCCGAAGACAATTCTCAGGATGCACGGAGGGAAAATTTTAGTTCGTGTAACAAAATGAGGACCGGGGGAAAATTCGATAACAAGACATCTCCCAGTTATCTCGAGCGAAAATGCCCGTCTGAACAGTACAAATAATGTTTTTCTGTGTGCGTAGCTCGTCAATGATACGATCTGTTCAACAGGGACAGTCCGGGTCTGATCACGTTGGAGCTGCAGCACAACCCTCTGGACGTGGTCGATGGGCCGTTCCTGAACTGCCGCACGCTGCTCTACCTCGATCTGAATTCCTGCGGTATCCGCCGGCTCGACACTCGTTTCTTCTACAACACGACGAATCTGAACAAGCTCGACTTGTCGCAGAATCCCCTGCAGCGAATAGAGCCCGGCCCGTTCGACCATCTGACCAACTTGGAATACCTCAAGCTGAACGGATGCAACTTAACATACGTATCCTCCGAGGCGTTTTCCCACTTGGAGAATCTCCGCCAGCTGGAGATAGCGGCAAACGCGCTGAAGACGTTGAACTGGCGGAGCGTCCTCGCGCCGTTGGTGCGCTTGGAGCATCTTGACATCCGCAACACCGGCATCACGAATCTGCCGGCTGACGCCTTCGCCAAGAACCTGTACCTGCGACAGTTGGTTCTAGCTGACAATGAACTCTGGCACTTGGACGTCGAAGACACCCTCGGTCACAATCTGCACAGCCTGCAGTCGCTGGACCTGTCGAACTGTAACCTGCAGGACCGCCTGTCCGAAGAGGCGTTCAGGAACGCGAGTAAACTGCGCGTGCTCAACCTGAGCGGCAATCCGATGTTCGCCAGCGACTTGACCGCTGTTCTCCGTCACTTACCGAAGCTTCACAAGCTCTCCCTCGGCAACTGCAGCCTGAGGAGGCTGCCGAATGCCTTCGACATACTGGAGCACCTCGAGGAACTCGACATCTCCCACAATCCGTTGTCCGACGCGTTCGTCAGCCTCCTGAATCCGTTGAGGTCGCTGGAGTATCTGGACATGTCGTACTGCGGCCTCGGCTACGTCGGCAACAACACCTTCGCGCAGATGACCTCGCTGAAGCAGCTGATCCTCTCAGGGAACGGGCTTCACACGTTGGAGGGCGGCCTGTTCGCGAACCTGACGCGCCTGGAGAGCCTGGAACTGAACAACTGCGACCTGAAGGTACCGCTCGACCCGAAGGTCTTCGGCGACCGGCTCTCGACGAACATAATCGAGCTGAAGCTCAGCGGCAACCCGCTGACCGTGCCGGACGAGGGCTCGCTCCTACCGGCCCAGCTATCCAACCTGGAGATCCTCGATCTCAGCAGCTGCGGCATCTCGCACCTCAATGTCAACATATTCGCCGCGACCAACAATCTCACGCAGCTGAATCTCTCCGGCAACGTCATCTCAGGCGTGGAGAACCTCAGCTCGCTGGGGAGGTTGCGCGCGTTGGAGCACATCGATCTGAGCAACAACAACCTGAGCACGATCAATCCGAGGGTGTTCCGGTCGAACCCGCGTCTACGCTCGATCAACCTCATGGGCAACCCGTTCATCTGCAACTGCTCGATCACGGAGACGTGGGACTGGGCGGTGCAAGAGAAGGGCGACCTCCACGTGCTCGTCGGCAGTCAGCCGGCCAACTTCGAGACCGGCTCCGCGAAGCGGAGGAAGAATCTCGCCTGCTCCTACGACGAGGAGACCTATCGAAGCATGGCGGACGGCAACCGGCCGGCCGCCGTTCGCAAGCATTACCCCAGCCAAATCACGCCCTCGCGCACCTGGGCCAAGTACGTCCGCGAGTCCAACTGCAGTCGACGTTCATGATACCCATCGGCGAGACATCAGCATCCGATATTGAACGTCTACTGTCACGAAGTACGCAGGCAGGAATTATAAGCTAAGTCAACGAGTTATTGTCATTGAGTCGCGGCGCCGTGTCATCGTGTGTCGCGCTCGCAGATGCAGATTCTGCGATATCGCGGGTCAATCTCTATTTCCGTGGCATTACTTTCGTAGTTGTAAGACTCAAGACGTCAGATCTGATGTGTGTAGCTCGCTTTATTAGATGATACGCATTGAGGAGCAGTCACTAAGTCACAAATACTCGGTTCTGTATGTATACATATACATATATATTATACTGTCTTTTTTTGTACATACCGTAAGGATAATTTTTACTCTAAACGTATTGGTGTGCCCAAAACTCGATGATATTGAACGAATGTCACCCGATATGAAGCCAGACGATCAAATTCGCAGAAGCAGATTTTGCACAATATTTGTCGATAGCTTACTAGCAGAATTACAAACGGGATTTGTTAATAGAGCACGATAATTGATTAATCTATTATCACAGAATCTGCTTTTGCAGGGGTTTGGCCGACTGGCTGGCCTCATGTCGGGCAACGTTCACTTAACGTACCTTCAATGAATGCCAATATAACCAATATTGGGCCAATTTGTCGCCAATGAATTGCGCCACTAGGATAATCGCTCCGGTGCTCCTCAGTAAATTTCCACTTGCGTTAAGTAAATTTCACTCGGTTCAAGTAAACGTTTTACTTGAATGTAGATAAAAGTGCTACGTTCAAGTAACACTCAATCCGAGTAAAAATCTAGAATCTAGAAGAAATATTGGAGTAATTATTATTTGCTTGAATCTTTGCACTTTTTTTCTGCATAGGATGCGATCGGAGGGCGACAAATTAGTAAACAAAGCGCGTCTCTCGCGTGCAAAGATCAATGCCACTCGGATTTCGCGTGTATCCGACGTCGTCCCGCGATATCTCGTGTTATCGTTCCGATAATTGCGCGCCGATTCATTTCGTTTTAATCACAAACTGTAAAAGACTGTGTTAAATAAAGTCCCGTCGATCTTTCTTGGTATGTGTGCCAGCTTCGTTACTTCCGTTCATTCGCTCGCGCCGGCACGACTGGCCAATGGGTCAGTCGCGATAACTGGCGCAGTTTATTCAAGCGAGCATCGATGTGACTGATCGATGCAACGCCGATGTCGATGCTCGATAATACGATGATAAATGACGTCGCCGCACGCGGAGATATCTTTCGGCGATTAACAGCACGGCGCTAACAAGCGGTAACAAGTGACGGCGGTGACGTCATCGTCACTTTTTGCGCTATATGCGACGAAAGGCGAGCAACCGTGTTGACGCGAAAATTTCCGGCGCGACGCCTTCGGATGTTTTCACTCGATCGCAATGACGTGGAGAAGCGTCAATTTTGCGTCCGTTACGAAATTTCGTAATTAATATCGCAGCTAAAGCCACGTCGATAAGGGTCGCACGAAAATAACTATATTTAGCCTCAGTTTCGATTCCGCCTACAGGCATCTCGATGTATTCGTATATTTGATGGCGCGTTACTTTTGCATCGACGTGCTGTAACTTTCATGATCGATAATTCTGTAACGCGTAATGTTACGTTAATACGTATTACAGGAAATCTTATTACTTGTTCTCCAGATTCGATCTTATCTACGGGAATTTTCATGCCATATACTTGGTGACGCGTTACTTTCGCATCGGGACGTGTCATAAGGCTTTTAATTAATATCCCTGTGTAACGCGCAAAGCTACGCTAATGCGGATTGCAGGGAAATTAATTACTCTGCCTGTAGATTCGATCCCGCCTACAATTATTTCGACGCCATGTACCCGGTGACGCGTCACTTTCCCATCGATGTATCTTTTCCAACTGACGTCTTTCTGATGCGTAAAGCTACGTTAATGCGGACTGCAGGAAGATTAATTGTTCTTCTTCCAGATCCTGTCTCCCGCCTACAGGTACTTCGATAACGCGAAGCAATCGTTTCAACTATTAGCGCGCGTATATAACAAAAAAACGCAACGTATCCGCCGACGAGCAATGCGCGGTGTCTGTGTGATCTCGGTGTGCAATTTGCAAAATTACACAGCGATAAGTCAAGGTGAGTTATATCCTATGAGATTAACAGCTTCGATAACGCCGTGCATCCGAAGAGGCACGCCACAAACGTAGAAAATTACCCCTCTCACCTTATGCAATTTATTCGCCGCCAGATACAGTTATCTCTAATTATGCCATTTACATTTGACAGTGCGATACAAAATTTAAATCTGACACGCTTACACGCATACACACATATACACATTGTCACTGTGTGCCATTTTCATCGAAGATACATCGCGGGCGACGTTTCAATTTTATTTATGAATATCGCGCATACACGATCGCTGTTACGTTAACATATTCGTCGAAAGATGATCGTGGGGAGGTGACATCAGCGTACATCACCAATTTTCGACGGGAAGTTCGCATTACTCCTCCCCGCATTTGATTCATGAAATATGCGCCCCCTGACGCGCCTATCGATGCCGCGTTTCCATTCGTTTGATTCGCTTTACGCTCGATTGATTTCACTTAAATCTTGCAGCACACAGGCCGTTAAGCCGGCTAACTGATGGGGGATCGGTAAAAATTTGATAGACGGGAAAGAGTATGCCCGCGCGCGCACTTAATTACGTATTCAATTACGGCGGTCAAACGACTCGGGGAAGATACGCGCGCGATTTTATTCATTCATTTTCGGGAGAGGTTCTCCGCGCAACCGCGCCGAGTCTCTCGAGCTCAGACCCGAGCCGGGGGAGGAGAAACTTCGATTCCGTGACGACAGCGCGCTGCATCGCGCGTTGCGGTGTTTCGACCACCGGAACATCGACAGTGACCTTCGATAATTGATCCCCGATGGAACGTCTACCGCACGTCGCCTACACCGACGCGAATCCACTCAGATCTAGGCAGGTATATATAAATTTGACAGCAACCTGTACTTGACTGGTAGTCCGCCTGTAAGGGTTATTTCTCTTGCAGGTGACTCATTTGGCACTCATATTTATCTGTCGCCGTTAGAAGCCGATAAAAATTTTATCATATCGTATCGTATCATGTATACAGGGTATCTGACAAAAATCGTGCCATCTGTGATATACTTGTGATTAAGGTCAATGCGAATAGGAAAAGTCCTCTACCATTTTGCAAACAACTACGCAAAATTTCGGGTTATTAATTATTGAAAACGGCCATGTACATACAGAGGCTTCTTTAATTAATAATTCAAAAATTTATACATATACATGTGTGTGTGTGTGTGTGTGTGTGTGTTACCGCACGCCAAATATTATTATTTTTATTAAAAGAATATTTTTCACACAGACACAAACATAACATATATATATTCTTCAAATATTAAAAATACCTTACAGATATAGAACAATTCAACTTCAAATATTAAAAATACCTTACAGATATAGAACAATTATTTTCTCAAATCTTAAGCAAATGTTTTCCAACTAATAAACGTTCTTTCAAACGTTAAAACAATCGTTTATGAAATGTTAAAAAATATTTTCCTAAACGTAAACATATTTTAGTAAAAAAAGGGGAGCTTATTTTTACCTTATTTTTACCAGTTATTTTTAATATTTTTTTAAGTATTTTCAAAAACGTTATCCAGATATTTTCACAAATATTTTTAAAAACATTGATTATCGAGAGGAAACAAGAGAGTAGTAGGGTGAGGTAAAAATAAACCCCCATCTATTACGAAAACAATGGATTAGTCGTCGACCAAAGAACTGTTCGGTTAATTAGAATTTGAGGTTGATGGCAGAAAACGAGACCATCTCGTCGAGTCGTCGACATCCGTCGTAATCGTGGACGTAAAGCAAGGCAAGGAAAACCGTAAATGTAACCGCATTTTACGGCTTACGTTTACAGTTTGCTTTACATTCACGACAGATGTAAGCGCCTACGACTCGTTTTTTGCCATCAGCCTAAAGCGATGGATTAGATCGTAGCGCGTTCGAATCCGGTTTTACCTAACTTCTTTCCCTTTGTAACGCCAATTTTAACGAAATGTTAATTTTAAGTACTCATAAGTCCAAGTTCGCGAATGCAAAGTTCATATTTTTCCTTTGGATGTGCTTTGGTAAATATATCCACTATCATCTGTTCTGTAGGCAAAGCTTTGAGTGTCATAGAGTGATTCTTGATCATATTCCGAATGTAGGTGCAGCAGACGAGCATGTGTTTTAACCTCTCGTCATGAACAGGATAATGCGCTTTTGATTTTAACTTTTGGGCTTCTTCATTGTCGTTAAATACAGTAACCTTTGTCAACTTATCGAATCCCAGCTCCTTTAGAAAACGGATGAGGTATACAGCCTCCTTGACTGCGTCAGTCAGTCCTGTACACGCAGCCTCAGCTGAGGAAAGAGCAACTGTATTTTGCATCCGGCATTCCCAGGAGACAGCTGCTCCAGCAAGAAGGAATATTTTCCCCGTGTAAGAATATCCGTCAACTAGGGAATTGCACCGATCGGTGTTTATGTAACCGAGAAGATTCTCGTTTGTACGTTTGTAGCACAGAGCGAAACCAGCGGTGTTCTCGAGGTATCTGAGCATGTTTATCGCCGCTTCCCAATATTTCTCCTCGTATTTGCAATGTAATTGACTCAATACGCTTACAACGTGAGCGATGTCGGGTCTGGTGCATAAAGCTAGGCACATTAAACTGTTCAGAAGCTTCATATACACGTACGAATTGTCGCTGTCTTCCGGATACACCGTAGTCAGGTTGACGTCATTAACCATCGGGATACTTGCTAAATTGCCAAGAACGTCTCTAAACTTGAAGAGCAATTTCTTAATATAATGCTCCTGAGAGAGACGGATACACTCGTTGTCCTTGACTATTTCTATGTATTGGAAATATTTCGCCTCTTTAGGGTCCCCGAGGGTGAATTGGTTCTTCAACGCATCGACGATACATCTCGTCACGTCGGAACAATTTGAAGCGATTAGAATATCATCGCCCATAACAAGGAGAAAGACAGTCCTCTCGTTGTTTACATAAAAACAGGAATCGACATTTGCGGGGAAAAGTCCAGCAGCCTTAAATGCCTCGGAAAGTTTCAAACGCGCTTGATGTATGGATTTAGGGAGCCCGTACAATCTCTTCTTTAGAAGACAAACTTTGTGTTCCTGACGAAATTGCAACAGCATAGCCGCGGCTTTCTCCCTTAACTCTTCTACACTTTCCTTACACACTATTTCTATAAGTATTTCTTCTAGAAACTGCGGTGTCTCCATGTATACCGTGGTATTCATGTCGCCATACAGATATGCGTCAGTGATATCCAATTGCGATATCGTCATCCCTAGTTCAGCTGATAGAGCGACGAACAGTCTTAGTGATCCTAATCTTGCTACAAAAGGAAAGATGTTTTGAAAATTAATTTCAGGCTGTTCGGAGAACCCATCGACGACAACTCGAGCTTTTCTTCTGACTATATGGGTGAGCGGTATTTTCTCAGCAATTCCGCAATCTTTGTACAAAATTGTACGACATCCAACAATATTACTGTCCGTCGGCCTCTCGACGAGTTCCCAGGTATCGTTGGCAATGTGAATTTTCACCTCGTTGTAAATACTCGATTCCCATATTTCATCATGTGAACCCGTAGAAGCGTCATAGTAGGAAAATTCTCCAAAGACGTACCTTGATGTATACCATTCTTTATAAGCATCCGAGAACAAGTCAGTAACAATAGGTGCTTCTCGTCTACTGCTACTTTGATGATTTGCGGACGAGGCAGAGGATCCAACGTCGGGTGTTCTTTGCTTTCTAGTCTCGCTTTCCTCAAGTATTTTAACTTTCAAGGTCTCAGCGTCGAGCAAATTGTCATCTGACTCTATCGCATGTCTAAATGTGTCGAAGCTACTCGGTAGACTGTACAACATAAAAATTGAGAGCATATCATCATTAATTTCAACGTTCATCGATTGCAGTTTGTCGACAGCATCGAAAAAATTATTCAGGTGGTTCG